CCTCCATATTGTCCGTTTTCTTTTTGTAGCTCAAGTAATTACTACCTCAGTCCTTAATATAAGACCCTGTTTGATTTTTTATTTTAATCCTAAATATAAGGCCTCAATCCATTTTGTCTATCATATTTATACATTTTTTCTAAAATAATCTTTCTAACAGCGATAGTTCTAATCAATACACTTGATTAGTAAGGATATTTTAAGAAAGACAACACATATTTAGGAGAAACAGCTAACTCAACTTACTTTCTTAATCTCTTTAAATTAGTCAACTGGCTCTTATAATTAAAACCGGAAGTAGTAACTAGTTTCCTTTTTACTTGATCTCAGTGTCTTTTTGTGTGCGGTCAATTATTTGCCGCCGTTGAGGAAATTCATGATTTGCTTGAGATATATTCTCTGCAATAAGACAATTTTTTAAGCTTTGATTCTTATTTTCACAAATCGAATTATATATTATTTGCACTGATTCTAAAATATTTTGCTAATAAAAACCAATAATGAAGAGTTGGATAAGAGTTGAATCTTAAACTCTACTATATCATTGTGAGTATTAAACCACGTTTAACTCATTTTCATTTCACACCGCCGGAAAATATATCTGACTCATTTAGCTAAAGTTACCACGCGACAGCGACGTTAATTAATTTTCAGCGTACCCTTGGGCGAAAATGATTTTCATCCTTTGCACTGTAATTAACAAACAATAATGGTCTAATTATTAGAATAGTCATAATTATATAACAATGATACGTATAATAATGGTATATTACGCCAACAAGTATAAATCCCATATTATATATATTTTAAATAATAGAAGTCGACGTCATCATGAGGTTGGCAGAAGTTGTTAATCAAAATGTTTTTAAAACCATGCTAACCATAGTCAACATCACGATCATGTTCCTAGAAGAACATTAGGACCTGTGTTACCAATATGATGTCCTAGTTTCTTCGTTTACGCAGGCAACATTGAATGAAGTCTAGATCTTTTAATTTCCACTTTTTTTGACCCATCTCTAACTTCTTCCAACATTCATCTGCAGATTGCAATGGCTCCCAAAATCTCATAAGAATTAATATTAATCGGATCTCTCATTCTCATCCACCCCAAATTCCTTATGTCCACCGGCTCTTTAGTTATCGTTCCGAAACGGAAAAAAAAAAAATTCAGAAGTTGGACCCCTTTACAATACTTTCTCTCCGTATATATTACATACGTGGCACAAATTAAGGGAACAAGATTTTTTTTTTTGGTGATAAGGGAACAAGAATTTGTCACCAAATTAATGGAGTTTGAATCAAGTAGACGTCGCATTTTATTTATACAGATGAGAATAGATTACCATCCAATAATGATAGGCATAAGATAATGCAAGTTGACATATTAGAATGGTTTTTCTTTTTTAAAAGGTCACAATTAAACTAGCGTGGTATGCTAATTTCAAACTTTGACCGAGGGCTGATGCAAAGCTAAACATCATTTATCGCTTGACTGGAATTTGATCTAAAATGTAATGCCATTCTTCATTTCCTTGAGCTCGGCAGGCTAATTGATCAAAAGGGACCTTTCGTCTCAGAAACATCCAAACTTCCCCACTCTCATTCCCCTTAAATCTTAAAAGTAGTTTTAAAATTTAAACCCAAGCTTGTACGATAAGGATTAGCTTCCCAGCACTTGTGTGAACTTGACCGATAACGTGATTCTTTTTCCCACCTGCTCAGACGCGTTTTCCTATACTTGTTATCTCAATTATTAAAGCCTTAATCTTTTCGCATTATGATGCATCAGTCGTCTCTCTCCCGAAATCTCAGAGCACTGATTTGTTCCCTTATTATTCTTACTCACTTGAAGACTTCGCCATGCCCACCCGTTTTACAAATATAGTAATCAACCCAAATGTATCTGCTAGTTTACGGAGATTCGGGTCAAGTATGGTGGGATTTAGCCGCATCGCTCGGGAGCCTCCGCTACAAGAACTGTGTGAGCAGTGGAATTTGCTGAGGATCGTCGTGTCCTGCATTGTGAAATTCGTCTTCTTCATCTTCATGCTTTCTGCAAAGTACATGAGGATTCGATTCCCAATGAATTTTTCGGTGGGTTCTTTGAGAACAGCCAAAACAGAGGTGGGGTTTTTTGTTGTGGCGCTGACCTCTCTGTACTGTTATTATGGAGACCGAAGTAAACTGGGGGAGACAGGGGAAAAGGGACACCGAAGTACATGGAGACTGATTTACTTTGAGGCGTTTACTTTGATGTCCTTGAGCTTATCCACACAAGCACACCCAGGATTCAAGCTTGATTCGTCCAATTTCCTTCTAATATGTCTGGTACTCGGTATCATAAAAAAGAACTTCATGGTTGGTGTGGGTGTGACAGTTCTATGTTACATGGTCATGAGTAGTCGCCCCCGTCCTGATTCCCGGCAGGAACAGCGCCGTCGTGACGGAGGCGAACCAGACGGCATCGTCGTTGATGGGGACAGCTTACTTGAGGAGGCGCCGCAGCTTCTGTCTTCCCTTCCCCTTACCATCCACTCTTCTCCTTCTCTGTCCACTCTCAGATGCCGGCCTGTGAATTTAGGTTCGTCTTCTCTGCTCAGATCAAGTCTCGAGCTTGTGAATTTAGATTCGCCCTGCCCTGAACCTTGCAGGAATTTGGAATGGTGGGTTTTCATGAACACGCTGTCGCCGATCCTTCGAAGACAAATCAGCTTGAAGACATTAAATTATGTGTCTTTGTCAGCCACAGAGTACTCGAATTTATTAAGCTCGGAGAGGAACTTCACAAGAGCGCTTCGACATCTGAGATTCGTTAATAGATGGTCACCTGAATCCGGAGCATCTACACCTTCAATTGCTCTACGTCTGCCGCGGTTGATGGGTCCCGCTGATGAATTATAAGATTTTATTCCCAACAATAGAGCATGAAAAATGAGTTAATGCATGTTCATTATGATACAAACACTGATGGGTAGAAGACCAGTAAATAATTACTATAACTAGTACTTTTTTCAGATGTTGTAATCTGGTGCATTGTGCTGCGGAATATCCCAGGTTAGAATCTTCAGTGATTGTTAGCTGAAAGATGAAGAAGCTGTTAAGTGTTAACTGGAACAGGAGAATCCAAAGGCGGCTGTTCTTATTTTTAATTGATTGATTAGCGTCTACATAAAAAGCCATGTTCTACGAATATTTATATTGGAACATTAGACTAGTGCTCCGACTCAATAATTTAATGCCCCCAAGAGGGCAACAAATGTTTATATATTTAGCCAAACATAACAAAGCATTATTATCACAATGAAGAATGCGCAAAGTAGGGGTTTAGTAAAACTTGCCAAACAAAAGCTTAAAACAACATTCGCCAAAATCATCTTGCTGAATAGTTTGCTCTTTTTTTTGTCCAATTTGGCAGGTGACAGTTTCTGTTACTTCTTGTTGTCTATTGTTGTTCTGAGTGAGCAAAAAGTGGTACAGATCAAAATAAGGAATAGCATCTTGAGATTATGCTGGGGAATATTTTGACATTCTAGGTTATGCAGCAAGCTCCGCTTTGGAAGACAACTTGAGAAAGTAGAGAATGTTTCTGCTGAAATTAAGGAACTACCACTGTAATGGCAGCGGAGGTCCCTAAGATTATCTCCACCTAATTATGATACAAGTTGGGAAATCATACTTTGTATTCCTCTCATCTCAAAAGTTGTGTTTAACATTTTGGGCATCTTTTTGTTGAAGCCATCTTCATTTTGCTAAAGTTAAGATTATTATCTCTGTCTGAGCGTCACCACGCGACAATGTGAACATGACTTTATTATGAAAGATGGAATCCAATAGTCCAACGTATGAAGCTAAAATCACGCATCAGATAATTAATTAGCATACTTTACAATGATGTTCTGGTTGACCCATAGGAGACTTGGGAAAGTGACTGGGCAACTTCCTTTCGTTTCATTAGCCAAAACGTGCCTTCTGGTCCTTATAATTTAGTACCACGGAGGGGATACTACGGTAGATTTCGAATTATTAATCTTCCTTATATTATCACATCACCAACTTCAGGTGCCAAGTTTTTATTTATTTTCTGATTAATTCTAATGCTAGATTAGTCAAAGTTGGCGCATAGTTTATGCTAGGTATCCCCAGAAAGCAAAGTCATAGCCATATCCAGGTACTTTCGTTTCCCAGAGCTTTCCCATCTTTTTCCATGAAGTTTAATTAAAAAAGTATGGAGATTCCTATCGAGTGTGGTTGGCTTCATCTGCTTGTACGCTGGTCCTTGTCCAAGATCGTTTTCTACTTTTGTCCTTGACGCCCAATTTTGGTGATACAGAACGTACAATCATGGCCCAGCTCAATAAAACGCAGACTCTAGCTGATGATAATGGCGACGAACAAAGCCTAATCAAAATGCCAAGTTTGCCCTGCGAGGGCCATAAGGAATAATATGCGATTTAGCAGATCCAAGAAGAAACTGGGTGTCACAATGTTCATGAATTGCATTTGCATATATGGTTTCAAGCTTTCCAGGCCCCACCACGCTTGTAGCCACAACAAGCCCAATCTATCATTTATCTTTTTGAAACGAAATAATATTCCATCTACTCCTAAATATAAAAATTAGAAAACTAATATGTAGAAATTAATAGAATTAGTTAAAGTTAGTTATTTTTAACAAAAGTATATTGATTTCTCTAAAATATTCATTTTAATCATATGTATTGGATATTACTCCCTTGGCAAAATTGAAACCCCCTCAAAATTTTAGCAAAAAATTGTACATTTAAAAAACAATAGATTAAAGTTTTATATTTATGATCAAAATAAATCTCTCAACTAGTTTTTATATTAAAGAACAAGACAGTTATGGGTGTTTGGATTAGCTTTTTAAAAGTGACTTTACGAAGTCTAATATGAGTATGTGAGAAGAGTTTTATCTTATTTGTGTGAAAGTTTTTTTTTTTTAATGCTTATGAGGGTTTCCAAACATCCTAGCAATATAAAAAGAATAATATATGTAAATTATTTTTTGTTTGCTTAAATTCACATAATGTGAAATGTTGACAAAGCAAGGAAAACAACAAAGAAAGAAAAAGAAATTCAGTGGTGGATGGTCGATGTCAAGGTTGGAGGATCTAACTTGTTCTCGGTATCCCACTTCTCTACGTGTCTCCTAGCTCTCTCCGCCTGCAACATTAATTCCATCATACAAATTAAAAGACCATTATAACAAATCTCACTTCATTCTATTTATTAGTGTTATCCATCTTCTTCTCAGATGCATATGACTTTGTTCTTACCTCTTTCTCCCAGTTGCAGCGAAGGATCATGATGCCTAACAATAGGGTTTGAGTCCCAGTGCCACCCCACAACATTCCACTCCATATCCCCTGCATTTCACACACTACTTTTAAATACCTTGCACATCAAATAAAGGTTTCAACTTTGATCACAAAGCAATAAGCATATTAGAATTTAGAGCTTATTTCTTGCATAGAGAGAGAGAGAGAGAGAGATGATGAAGATGATGATGACCCACCGGGACGCCAAGGTTGAAGTGGAAGCCAAGGAGATATCCAAGTGGAAGGCCGATCAAATAATAGCAGCCCAGGTTTATGTAAGCCACGTATGTTTGCCACCCCAATCCCACAGCAACACCTGGCAGACACAACCATACACACGTGTCATCAAACCATTCATTCTCAGAATCCACAGTTATCTTCATGTCTGCCTCCCGAAATCCCGAGAAACCTCCTAATTGATGTTGTTCAATGGTGTCATATTTTGTCTGCTTGCTCAATATGGAAGAAACAAGTCACCTGAGATAACTGGTTGAACGCTGTTGAGAAGCACGGTGAAAGCTAAGAGGAGCTTCAGATCTAAAACTGCTTGCAGAACAGATTCACTGGAAGAGAAGAAGCTGGCAATTTGGTAGTCGAATAACATTATCAGAACCCAGAATACCACTCCAATGGCTAAGGACGTCAGTACGGATACATTTGTTGCGAACTTGGCTCCTCTTCCATTCCCTGCTCCAAGTTCATTCGCCACCCGAACTCTACAAACAAATCAAATGAAACACCAACTATTTCATTACTGTATAGTATTCAACTTTATTATAGATTTTCATTCTGCAGATTGCACGGATATATGTTATGGATAAACAACGTTGGCGTAAGAGAATAAGTATGAACTGAGCTACTGTGAATTTTGAGATGCTCAGATCTAAGTAACTATCTGGAACATGAATTTATTGAAGATTCCATGTTAGATCTACTAGTTTTGGCCTTTTTCCCAGAAGCAAATAGTCAAATAGCGAAAGGTGAGGATAATAAGTGGGTATTTACTACTTAGTCACCCCACTTTCCATTCTGGGGAAAAAAGTACAAATCGATCTACATCTTCCAGAAAGAGGCTTCTAAGAAGGAAAAATGAACAATAATAACGAAAGACAAAAGATGTAACTGCGGGAGGAGTGCCTACCCAGCGGCTGCAAAGAAAGCGAGGGGAATCATCATCTCCCAGCCATTAATGGACATGCTGCAAAATGTAATGAGATTGTCATCGTGAGCTTGACAAATTGATAACAACACCCTTTCGAAAAAGTAAACTAAAATTAAAACATATCTATCTGACTCTTGGCTCTAGAAAAAGCTTTCCGTTTTGACTGGTATGCTTCCTAAAAAGTGAAAACATTAAGCAAGTTATGCTAAAATATAATTGTTCACGGACGGTTTCTGTACCAGATGGATAGAGCATCTAGAGTAAGCTCTGCGTTGTTCAAAGTTCCAGCTATGAGGATCAAAATTCTGTAGTACCATGTCTCCAAGCTGTTTAAGACACGGAAGCATATGGATCAAAACATATGAATAAACCACTCGTATTCACTATAAGCAAATTCGAATTGCTAAAAGGGAGAAATCAAGTACCAGAGCATGACCCCAGAAGAAGCAGAGAGCTTGAGAAATTCACAGAGGCCAGAAAAAGCTTGAATCGAGAAACCAGTCCACGTCAAAGGACACCCACCACAAACGATGTAACCCATTAATCCAAACACCAGATTCCACCACGCCAAACACAAAGTGATAGTGACACCGATCACTCCGAAGTTGAAGACATCGACGAACAACCAAGTTAGGAACACATGAAGTCCCAGAGCCACCAGAGAAACCCAAGCAGGGACCACGGTCTTGGTCTGACATTGAAAGAATCTCTGCAACGGGAAAACGAAGGCAAAACAAAAATGGAGGGGAATCATCCAATTAGCCACGACACCGGTAAGCTCGGACACCGACGTAGGCTCCCCCAAGAACTTCATGATCGGAGAGGCGAACAGAAACAGAGGTAACGAGAAAATGCAGCACAGCGTTAACACAACCCACGATCTTTGCATGTACACTCCCAACATGTGGTATTTCTTAGCCCCAAAAGCTTGCCCACAAAGTGTTTCCAATGCACTGGCCATTCCCAACTGAACCAATCAAAGAAAACTTGATTTTCAAATTTCAGATATGTTAAGAAAACAGGGGAAGCTGACAACAAAGGAGGGCAAGAAAAGAAGTTACCAACAAGCCGAAATCCAAGCCCATGATGACGTTGTAGCCGATGGAAATGGCAGCGAGCTCGAGATCGCCGATGTGGCCGGCGTAGGCCTGGGAGACGACGATCATGGAGTAGGAAGCCATACGGAAGACGATGGTGGGGCCCACAATCTTCCAGAGCTTCTTGGATTCGTGCAAGGTCTGAGATGTGAGTGATTCATCGTGAGGAGGATGATCTTCTTCCTCGTCCTCCACTGCTTGAACTATCTGGGTATCACCGGAAGCCGGAGGAGTGTGTTGCAGTAAAGGAAGTTTAGCTTCATCCTCAAATGTGTCTCCTCTGCTCCAGGTAGAAGACATCCTTGAGCTTTTTCTTTTTTTCCGATCACCGAAACACACCCACCCCCTTCTATTTATGGTATTGTCAAATGCACGATTATGATTTTTTTTTTTTTGGTCCAAGCATGATTATGAATTAAATTGGTGTGGCTTAGATTTGAGAGGCTGATTCTAGACTAGACCCCCCTGCACTGCCACGTGCCAACCTAACATGCACCCATTGTGGCCTGGTGGCTAGTTTTTTTTTTTTTTTTAAATTAACCCAAAGAATGAAGGTTATGCTCCAAAATACTACTTCCGATGCTTAATATAAAATCATGTTTAATTTTTATTTTGACCCTAAATATAAGACCTCAATTCACTTTGTCTCTTATATTTATATATTTTTTTTCTAAGATAGTCATTCTAATAATTATAATTCTAGCCAATATAGTTAATTAGTAAGGATATTTTAGGAAAGATAATACCTATTTATTACAAATAACTAACTTAACTAGACAATATCTATTTATTACAAATAACTAACTTAAATTCTTTCTTTAATTTTTTTCAAATTAGTCAACTCAATCTTATAATTAGAAGCAGAGGTAGTATATTATATGTGATCAGACGAGTGACGCTGGCACAACTCGTTAGATTATCACAGTTCTACTCAATTTAAAAAATTTATCATACTTCGTACATGTTTGAATGGTAGAAGTTTAAAAAAAAAAAAAAAGCTTCTTTCGAAGAAATAAATGTTTATGAGATTGGTGAAGATGTGTAATTTTTTTTTTTTTGGACTCAAAGTGAAGATGTGTAATTTAAAGATTAATTAATGAGCGCACACGGAATGAATTGTAAGTTTAGTACAAGATAATTCATAAAATCGACGAGGTTGTTTTAAGGATATAACATGTTAAAATTGTTTCAAAATTCCACGTACCATAAAAATGGTACAACACACTAGGGGTGTTCAAGGCCGGCCCGTCCCGGTCGGCCCGTTCCGGTCCCGGTCTTATTGGGACGGGACGGATCCGTCCCGAAATTTTTCGGGACGGGACAAACCGGGACGGGACAAAAAAGGGACCGGGACGGGACGGGACACGGGACGGGGTTGTCCCGTCCCGGTCCCGTCCCGGTTCCTTTTAAAAAAAAAAAAATTAATTTTTTTAATTTTTTATATAATATCATTTTTTCATATTTTTTTTAAGATTTGATACTATTGTATGGAACTATGGATATATTTATTTAGAGTTTTTATATTTGTTAATGATTTGAAATTATTGATGATTAGAATTTTTAACAAGTTTTTATTGTGTTAAAAGCTTTTGTTTAGAGTTTTTAATAACTATTATATGTAATATTTTGAGCTTTTGTTTAGAGTTTTTAATAACTATTATATGTAATATTTTGAGCTTTTGTTTAAGAGTGCCCAAACAAATAAAAAAGATGTTTTTATAAGATTTAAGCTCAAAAAAATATAATTAAAAAAATCAGATTTTTTAAAAAAATTAAAAAAAATTAAAAAAAATTAAAAAAATAATAATTTCGGGACGTCCCGGTCCCGTCCCGGATCCGTCCCGTCCCGACCGGGACCGGGACAACCCCGGGACGGGCCGGGACACGGGACAGAAAATCTGTCCCGTTACTGTTCACCGGGACGGGCCTGTCCCGGTCTCGATCCGTCCCGTGAACACCCCTACAACACACCTAGCCAGCTACATTTTACTTTTAAATCACTCAAAGCTTCCCCCTTCTATATATTTTTAAATATAAGTAACTTTTAATTTTTACAGAGAAAGCTCGACGATACTCCCCCTTTCCACAATATAAGTTAATTCTAAAAGAATGACTTAATCTAAAGTATAAATTACTTGAAGAGTAATTAATACTACCTCCGGTCCTTAATATAAAATTCTATTTAACTTTTATTTTGGTCATAAATATAAGACTCCAATCCACTTTGTCTCTCATATTTATATATTTTCTTCTCAAAGTAGCTCTTCTAACAATAATAGTTCTAGTCAATACACTTGATTAGTAAGGATATTTTAAAAAAGACAACACCTATTTAGGACAAATAACTAACTCAATTTACTTCTTTAATTTCCTCAAATTAGTCAACTAATTCTTATAATTAGGACCGGAGGTAGTACTCATTTGTCAATTTTGTTTGTACAATTAATGCTTAAATACAAGTCATTGTGTCTTTTTCTCCCCTTCATAACGTAGAAAAGTTTTTTAATCTAGAACAAATTTAATCGGATAACTGCTATTTCTGATACTAATGAATTAGTTAAAGTAACCTCTATAAATGTGAACCAAAAGGAGTATCAAGAATTTAAGTGCAGATATTAGCTCTTAGATTTTAGTCCCTCATCACTTGTAATCTAGGTTAACTCCTATCCTATCACTTGAGTATGTAATGAAACCTTATGTATTTAAGTCTTTAGTTAAATATGAACTTGATTTTCATAGTCTCATAAGTTGAGAATGTTCTAAAAATCACTTACTAAAGGGTTGCTTTTTAACTAACTTTATAGTGTTCTAATGTTAACCTTGTTATTGGACTGCTTTTAGTTTTTCTTTGAACTTGGTTTTTTCTTCGGAACACTCAATATTCCTCTAACCTTCTGATGATGAAGTGTTCTGTGTCAAACTTTGATTGATTGATTCGACTGAAAAGCTCCATACTCGTTCCCTACTCTTGAATAGTCCAAATAGTCTTTCGATTATTTTTTAGCATTAAAGTGTTCACAATATTATGAAATGCGAGTTGTCATCACTCAAATACTGAATTGTCAAATTTCTTACTCATTAATTTGAAACGTTATCACCCATACCTATATGTTTGAATGGCCGAAATGAAATATTATTACCTCCGTTAAAAAATGTGTACGAAATTTATGAAGTTAGGTGTGCAGAGTTTAGATTTATTCAATGAATTCAGTAATTATTACTCATCCTATCCTAAATATAAAATCCTTATATACATTATATAAAGGTCTTATATTTAGAATCGAATAAATACTGCTATTGGGTGTCTTTGTGTAACTTTGTGTCTGAGGGGGCAATAATCTTCAAGGAAACACAAAATATTAATACATCTTTAAGTAAAAATTTGAACACCGGTTTAGTACGTTGTGAGAAACTAGTTTCTTTTACTAAATCTAATTCTTGTTGATTTGGCCTGTGATCATCTTAGCTATAACATGGGAAAAATTAGTTAATTAATTCATGTTTATTTAGGGACATTGATGAAATATTAAATTTTGGTTGAATCCAATGGGAGAAAGTTGAGAGGACGTGGGGGAGTTTGATCTCCCAAATGAGATTCAAGGTCGATCTGGACTTTGTCTGGGCATCACATGTGAACACGTGGGAATTGAGCATCCTTTGAGCGTTTATTTCCTAATTTGGAATGTTATCACTCTCAAGATGAGCCACCATGCTAGTACGAACTCTTTTTATATATGTGTGTGTTTCTCTTAGTTTCATACTATATGAAGATGGTTTCTTGTACTGTGGTGAAGTGCATAATAAAATGGTAGAATATATTTTAATTTCAAGTGTCTAAAAAAACTTTAAGCCCCCCCCCCCAACTCATTGGTATAAGTTTAGCTGGGAGTTTAGATAATCTTAAATATATACTAGAATAAAATATTAATTTAACTACTGGATTTTGTGCTTGTCACTTGAGGGTTAGAAGTGATAATAAACTTGTCATATTTTTCATCTATTTTATTTCTAAGAAACATCATAATTACGATGCATGTTCCTTTATGACCAATGCGGAAATTATAAGGGAGAATTATAGTGAGGTCTCCAAAAAAAAATAATTATAAAATAACTCCTAAAAGTTGTCATTTCTAACTCTAGAATTTGTCATTACTGGCTACTTAGGTTGTTATAAAGACTTTTTTAATAATTATTTTTCTTCTTTAAGACCTCATTATAATTCTCCCAAATTACTATGTCCTATCATTGCTATTTCTACTGCACCTCACATCGGAGCGAATCAGTTAATTTAAGTAGATTAAGGGTATTAATTAAATTAATTAATGTGATATGTTCTTTCCAAAACATTATAAGTATCTTTTTTAATTTCTTTCTTTTCTCTTCTACTTAATTATTGTTGAGCGAATATCAATAGGGTTAATATGAAAAAAATTGATAAACATGTAAAGCAATTCTTACATATAGAATCAACATTAACTTCCCAATTAGGTTATACATTAAAAATCAGAGGGGTAGTAAAAATGCAATTTTAACAATGCCAGATATGGTATTCTGCACTAGTGAAAATACCTTGATTCATTTTGTTTCTTATACTTGTCATTCTTTAAAAAATATTTACCAAACTTATGCAATGCGCCATGACCTGATCTTTGATAAATTGTTTATTAATTTTTGCTGCTTAAGTCAATATTATAAGTAATAGCCAAAACTATACGATCCCAAATTACCGGCGGTATAAGACAATTCCAGCATGTCATGTTTGCAATCAATAATGCAAATTCAGGAAGCTTTTGTGATTTTTTTTTTTTTTGATAAAAAACGAACGAAATGTTTAGTCTAAAGCCAAGCATTTTTAATGAATTGTATATTAACAAAGGTTAATATCATTGTAGTTCTCATAGTTTAGTTAAGTTTTAGTTTTAATCCTTGCAATTTCAAATATTTGATCTTGATCAATATAATTTTATAAAGATTTGATTTAACGAACAATTCCTATACTTTTAATAAGTGTTGGTCTTGGTCCTTATACTTAAAGTTAAACCAGGTACTCATGAAATTATAGAGATTAAAACCAACAATTTGAGACTATATGAACCAAAACTAAAGTTTGATCAAATTTTAAGCATCAACAATAATATTAACTCTATTAACGACTAAAAACAGTATAACAGCAATAATCTCACGATTAAAAATTCAAGCACGCGGCCCTTCTTTTTTCTCGTTGTTTAGGCTACAAATCTCTTTCTACTTTAAGTTAACAGCAAATTAAATTTTTATAAACAGCTCAACAAAGTCAGGTCAATCCACAAACAAATGGAACAATCAACCAATTACCGCAAACATTAATCAATAATTGAGGGAGTGTTTGGATAGAAACCAAACCATGGTTTCAGAAGTGCTTTTACGGATTACGAAGTAAATATGTGGAGGAGGTTACCTCGTTTTGCGGAAAAGTGCTTCTGAAACCACAGTTTTGGAGCACCCAAACAGGCTCTCAAGCTAGAATGCCACTATTAATTAATTCCCCAGTTATCGCAAAACTCTAGATAAACAGTTAATGAAGTGCTCAAAATCAGTCAGATTTTCTCTTTGAAAACAATTATTCCTCCGTCCTAAATATAAGACTTATTTTGTAATGTAAATTACACTACAAAATAGATCTTATATTTAGAATCGAAGGAGTATTACTTTACTATGACTTACCACTAAAGAAAAACGTAAAGATTTTTTTTTTTTTTTTTTGCCAGAGCTATTTCATAAAATTGTCCACAAACTTAATGCCTTGATGGTACGCCTTTTTCTGGTATGAGACTTGATTTTGCCAAACAATATCTGAACATAGCATTAACATCATAAATATGATAATCAACATGGACGTTTAACCAACAATAAATTTTTGGACTACCATACTGCTAAAAGTCAGAAACAATATTAATGAAGCCCATGCCCAGCTGATCAACTGGGTTCCAGTGTCGCCTCAGTTGGGGAGTTTAATATGTAACGTTTTGTCTTTTTGTTACTAATAAATTTTGTCTTGATATGAAAAATTTGTTTCTTTTTGCTCTCAATTAAATGTGGCTATTGAAAATCACATTTTTATTAAATAAGATTAGTACTTTTGGTCTCTTGTGAGGAGTAATTAAAAAATTTAATTATATTTTAAATTTTGCATAAAGATTTATAATTACGCATACAAAAATTTAAAAATTTGAGATTTTATAATCAGAAGCAGAGAGAGCAATCATAATAGGAATGATTTACCGAAAGAGAATTTCTTACAAGTTAAAACTATAATCACCAACTAAAAAAATTAAAAAGGCTTAAAAAAGTAAGTTGACCTTTTTTTTTTTTTATAGTACCAAAACAGGGGATTTGGGAGCAGAGTCACATGGAGGGATACTCCAAAAATAGAAAAAAAAAACATGGGAAAACAAATCTGAATGGGAAAGCTAGAAAGAGGCTCAAAGCCTTTCTCCGAACAATTTTTGACTAAAGCAACGTACGCGAATGTGCCATAGAGACATTAATTTTAAAATTGTTGAACAGCTACTCCATTATTTTACTTAGTATTATTACGAATTTAGAACTTGTGAATGTATGGACAAGCTTTCAGACCAAGCCATGACTATATATATATATATATATATGTATGTATGTATGTACACTCATCCAGTCCTTAATATAGAATCCAATTTTTGAGTTATTTTTTGTACTAAATATAAGACATATTTCTTATATTTATCAATTTTCTCTAAATTACCGTTATGGATACTCCCTCAATTATAATCAAGTAGAAGAAAGAGATGGGGTATTAAGAAAGATGATTATGGTGTTTTAAGAAAAATGTGTCATTTTTCTTATAATTAACTAACTTACTTAACTTTCTCAATCTAATCAAATTAATTAAATGGGTCTTATATTAAGAACCAGAGAAGTATATACACTACCTCCAATCCTTAATATAAGAGCTTGTTTGACTTTTAGTTTGATTCTAATTATAAAACCTCAATCCACTTTCTCTCTCATATTTATACTCTTTTTTTTTAGGTAGTCCTTCTAATAATAGTAGTTCTAGCCAACACACTTGATTAATAAAGATATTTTAAAAAAAAAACAACACCTATTTATTATAAATAACTAACTTAACTTATTTTCTTAATTTTTTCAAATTAGTCAACTAGTTCTTATAATGAGGATTGGAAGTAGTATATATTTTGGGAACACTATATTTCATTTTTCATTAGAAAATATCGCTCACATCCTTCACACACGCACAGAAGAGAGCAAAACACTTCTTCCTAGTATAGAAGCAACAAAACAAACACTCCTTTTTTCAATATCTATATCTACATTTTTGTTGGCAAAAAATAATCCACATTTTTAACAATAGAGCGGTGAAAGCGAACTAATTGAAAACCTGCCGCAAGCTCTGGATTTAGCGAGATGGTTCGTCTAACACTTCTTTTCAATGCCACTCGGGTCTCGATTAGGTAAATATGGTAGTTGATTAGATTTATTTACAAATTTCGAAATTTTTGGAGCTCAAATTATTATTCTTCTTAACTTCGTAAAATAGGGAACTTGATCAGTTTTACTTTCATATTTGAAGATAAGAGCTGGACAAAATTATCTTCATTGAACTTTTGATTGAAGTCAAATTACAATGGCATTTTCGTACTCATGAGACACAAGGATGGGCAAAATGGTCTTCCAGCGTGCCTACTGAGCGAGAAAACAGGCGTCTGCTAAAAGAAGCCATCTTCCCCAACTAGTTCTTTAAGCCCCCACATCTTTCTTCTTGGTTCTGAAAACCTCCATTTCCATGGTATTCACACTACTTTCCATGCTTAATCCAAGCATTCTGCACCTATCTTCAATGCTGGAGTTTTTGGCTTTTGTTTGAGGTTTTTTCTTCTTTTTTTTTTTGTCTTTTCTTTTTCTTCTTTTTTTTGGGGGGGGGGGGTAGAAATGAGATCATGTATTAATCAACTATCAGAAAATACATCGGTTCACTAAATTCAGTGAACAAAAAGAAATGACTTGATGGAGAATGATCAAAAGCATAAAGACTACTTCCAAGTTCCAGAGAATACATAGGTTCACTAAATAATGCATCTGTTTTGTAATCATAGGTTTGATCACATAAATATTGACCCACTTTTGACTTTTCTAATCAAGACACCAAGCGATTACTTTTGAATTCGATTGGATCAACTTAATTAAATTGGTGGAATCAAAAGGCTAATAAAATCAAGTAGACCACGTGGAATGAATTCAGTCTCCACGCACTAGCACAAGAAAAATCTAAAAGACCCATTCTAGTCCAACCCAAAGTCCAAAAACATCCAACTCAGCTATAATTCTTTCATTTTCCCAGTCAAAGCTATTAACTGATTGGCAATGCAACATTGGGCCGTTTTGCTTGTACGGCAAAAGGAACAAAAGCAAGGTGCCATAGATTACACTGAGGAACGACGAAATGATCTTGACCACAATGTGCCGGGAACACCCCACCGGGAAGAGGAAGATTAACGGCCAATTCAGATTATATTTCCCAATCTAGCATACCACATACAAACTTGTGTGCTACGGGGAAGAAAAAATTCTTTTCAGGGAAGAACCATCAACATATTAGCTTCCACAATTTAGAGCAATTATCCCTATACAGATATATGGTAATGCAACTACAGTAGCATAGCTCATCCTACCAGAAGGACTAGCCATCTTCTGAACCCAGTACTTGTGCCTTGAGCTCTTCTATTTTCATGGCCAGTTCATCCCTATTTTTCTGCGAGTTAATACATATAATTAATCCTATTTATCTAAATCGCCTAAAAAATATCAGCAGAAAAACCAAAATATGTACCTTGAAGAGAAGATAGCGGTAAGTGAACCATAGAGTATATGCAAGGCCCACTACTTCCAGCAATTTGGGAATCTGATGTCCCAATGATGAAAACCAAAAACAAGAGTTACATATAAAAAAATGTTTATTGCTTGAAAGCATAACATGATACTAAACCAATACAAACCAGTGGGATAGAATCAATAGCACCAACAACAGCTGATGTTAGCCACAACGCAATTACAGCACCTCCTCCATACAAGAGAATAGAACCCGTGTCATCTATGTCAAACTGAAATGAAAGGAAGGAATCAAGCTTGGGCGAGTAGCATAGTCTGTATTCAGATTCATAATAACAGAAAAACAGCTGGTTTCATGGCAGGGCATGAATATAAGGCAATAAAAAGAATTCACAAACAAAGGTCCAAACTGCATTTAATCTAACTGATCAGTGCCTTCAAAGAAGTAACTTCAAACCCATATATGATTTTGTAAAACCTAGTCACATTGCATGCTCACTTCCTCATAGCTATAGCTAATTAGATAGAAGAAACAGGACGCCAGGATAGGTTACACAAAAAGGATAAAGGCATAAAAGGATCGATAAGAAATTAAAGAGGAGGGCAAGAAGTTACATGAGAAAAATGTAGATCAGCAAAGAATGCAACCAGTTCAGAAACACACAGTTTGAATTTTAAAATCAAGGTTAATATCTCATTAATCAGCAGGAATACCATTAAATGTAAAGCGCAGATAAACACTAGAGAATCACTGTAATATTTTAACGATGCAGCCGGTGCCAATAATAAAGCATATTTTAACAACACAGCCACTACGAATAATAAAGCATATAATTGTAAATGATAATAGACAGGACAAAAGAAGTGAACACACGTAGAGTTGCTCAGGTAACCGCTCAGGTTTGACATAATTGTCAAAATCTCATGAGACATTCCATGAATATCATCAATAACCCTTACGATCATCACAGCAACTAAATTTGGAAATAGGTCTATATAACTACATAAATAGATTCACCTGCAGGACAGGCAATTTACTGTTCAATGCAAAGGAACATATCAGAAGAAAAACAGACATTTAAAAAATTTTACTAAACAAAGTTGAATTCTTTTTCAACAGTAGAAGCACTGATGCTGGAAGAATGGTTATAAAAGAGATGAGATTTCAAAATTCCTGCTTACAATTACAGGTTTTAATTAGTCACAACTGTAAGCCATTCAAAAAAAAAAAATTTGGGGGTTGGGGGAGTTAGGCTGATCCACATGAAGTTGCTCAGGTAACCGCTCAGGTTCGACATTTCTGCCGAAGTCTCATAAGACATACTATGAATGCCATCAATCTTGAATAGGGTCATCACAGCAACTCAATTTGGTGTTTTGACCGCAGTTCAAAATGAGTAAATAAATACAACCATTGGACCAAACACTCAATGCTCAATACAAGAGGCACAAATTGAAACAAAAAAATAATAGGATTATAGGGGAAAATGTACAGAGCAATGTGAAATTGTTTTCTGGGTAAAGGATGAAATATTATTAGGAAAAAGAAGATTTAAAAATTGAGGATGCAGTCAGACTTTAGTTACAAGTTTGAAAACATTAAAAACTGGTATCAGATAAAACGGGGAAGGATGAAGCCATGTGAGGTTGCTTGGATAACAACTCAGGTTCGTATCATCGAACATTCTGCGGATGTCATCAACAATCTGTAGAGTCCTCACAGCAGCTCAATTTGAACATGGGTCCATTAAGTCAAGAAATGCATATTTAGGATCAACAATTTAATGCTCAGGGTATAATTCATATTTTCAACAACAAACAAAAGGGCTATTTTGAAATTAAATAGACAAAAACCTACAGAACAAATATTTTTTAAAATAAAACAAGAATTATTGTCAGAGAGGAAAGATTACACAAGAGGTGCAAATACCAAATATAGAAAAGCTGCACTTAACCCTTGAAATTAGGAACACTCCCTTCAAGACACCAAGGCGTAAAAACCAAAAACCAATTCAAAGTATCTTGTCCCACCTGGGTTCTAAGGGATGGGAAGAAATTTGCAAGATAAAATAAAGTCAGTCCAATAATACAATACCAAAATATAAACACCAGCGGGATTGTCTCATATGGAATTAAATGGTTTCTATGAAACACAGATTCATACAACTTTCATCGGGGATTACACAACAGGAAAGTCAAATTCAATAGAAAAGCACCAAAATTGTAGTCACTAGTGAGTATAGAGAGAAACAGCCAAGCATCTAGTAAAAATATCTTCAACTGAATAGTTACGTAATAAATCACTTAATGCAGATAGGAAACCAGAATTGTAGTCCCTAGTGGGCATAGACATGACACGGACTACTAAAATCAAATAAGAGTGCAGAAAATGTAGCTCCAGCAACCTTTATATTTTCAAGTTTTTCAGCAAAATCAAACGGCTGCACTAGCTCATCCACGGGTGATTCTTCTTTTGTTTCTTCGGATGCCACGTTTCCACTGAATGCATTATTTTCGGTTGTTTTAACATCCTCCACAATTATTGCACGGTCTGGTTTCTCATCAACAAATTGACTTGGCCCACCAGATGTTTCATCGGATACTTTTGCCCTTGGTGACACATAAATCAAGGAAGTTGAACCTGAACGATAGGAAAAAGTGCAAGTCATGTATTTTATAGTAATGTTCATAATTGCTCTGCACTTAGTAAATGACGGTACAGAAAAATAGCGGCAACCTTATGTTTGCAACCGTCAGTGTCATAAGACAGAGTTCGACTACTCTAGAAGAAGTAAGAAATGCTAAGATTTTTCTAAGGTGACGTTCATTTTAGCAAGACAAACATTTTGAGGATTACTGATCTTTCTTATATTCCATGGAACTCCCTCCCCCCGGGGAGGGGATGTCGCAGGTATTCAAGTAATTTAAGACAGCAGACCACACCATAGATGAGTCTTCTCAGAACAGAATTTGAAAAAACTACGACCCCACTAATGAGTTGAGATGGAGACTGATGAGTTAAGCAATAGGAAGAGTGTTGGGATCAACTTTGTAAGAACATAAAGAGAACCCGGCGGGAAATAAAAGGGCGAAACCATATCCTTTTGTGAACGAACTACCATGCAAGAATTTTTGAAAACCAAGAGTGGCGTATCAGAATAAATAAACAGAAGTTCCTAACATAACCGGCAAACCCAATCAGCTCAAGCCCAAATAAAAGAGGGAAAATTACAGAAAAAAGTACAAGCAACCTACTTTATGATTTCGATTGAGACCGAATGTAAGGGATGAAGAACGTACGAGATAGCATGTTGCCAGAGGTGCTAATCACTGGGGTTTTTCTGAGAAAAAGGAAGGGTTTAGCGAGGGAAGGGGAATCAGGAGGAATCCCGACGCAGAAGGCATTATTATTGGGAAGTTTGAAGGAGGCCTGAACTGTACAAAGCTCCATTTCCAGAAGCTTGCAGTGGCTGTCACTGAGCGAGGAGAAATGGGGAAGAACCGAAGACGCGAAAGAAAATGAGGTTTCTCACCTCTTATATACACGTGGCCTCTAGGGTTTCCAGATTTTTTCTCTTTCTGGAGTTTACATTTTTTTGTATTTTGATGCAACGGTGGAAACCCCCAAAAAAAAAACAACAACAACAACAAAGTTTTCTCTCTTTTTTTCCCCGAGCAGGTACGTGTCAGTTTTCTTTTACGAATACTTTTTTTTTTTTGTCCAAAATTTTCTTTTACGAATACACACAAGAATACGAAGAGTTTATCACTATCATATCAATCAATTTAATCGAAATAATATTTTCTAATCAAATTAGAGTCGGTATATTTTTCAACATAGCACATACTATATTACTGTTGTTGTTATGAGTGTTTTAATTTATTTTTGAAATTTAAAATACACTTATGCTAATTTGATTAAATTTTTCCTGAGTTAATTTGATTTAAAATATTTAACATACTTTTAATAAATTATGAAAAATATATTTTAGATTTTTAGAAGTTAAACATATCCGTATGAGTTGGCTACACTGTCATTAAGGGGTGTTGGGATTTGCATTAAAAATGATTTTCAAAAATATTTTTTCGTAAATCGAAACAAATTCTTTTATATATTTATTTTATATATTGTAAAATTATTTTTTTTTCCGAGCAGGTACGTGTCAGTTTTCTTTTACGAATACTTTTTTTTTGTCCAAAATTCTCTTTTACGAATACACACAAGAATATGAAGAGTTTATCACTATCATATCAATCACTTTAATCGAAATAATATTTTCTAATCAAATTAAGTCGGTATATTTTTCAACATAGCACATACTATATTACTGTTGTTGTTATGAGTGTTTTAATTTATTTTTGAAATTTAAAATACACTTATGCTAATTTGATTAAATTTTTCCTAAGTTAATTTGATTTAAAATATTTAACATACTTCTAATAAATTATGAAAAATATATTTTAGATTTTTAGAAGTTAAACATATCCGTATGAGTTGGCTACACTGTCATTAAAGGGGTGTTGGGATTTGCTTTAAAAGTGGTTTCCAAAAATATTTTTTCGTAAATCGAAACAAACTCCTCTATATATTTATTTCGTATATTGTAAAATTATTTTTGAAACCATAGTTTGATTTCTATCTAAACACCCCCAAATTTTTTTAAAAAATATTTTTATGCAGTACGAATAGAAACATATTTTCGTCCAACAACTTACTCCAAAATTATCATAAACTTATAATATAATGATCATTCTGAAACCACAAATAGATATTTAGGACATAGCAGTGATGCTTCGAAAAAGTTAACCAATATAATTATATTAATGAGTTATGCTGAGAACAATTGAAAGAATGATAAAACTAGGACCAAGCAATTGGTTTTTCGATTTGATTAGCTTTATTAACCAAAATAACTGAATAACTAAAATATATATTTTAAACACAGAACTGCAATTAAATATTACTCCCTCCGTTTCTTATTATAAGAGACATTTGATGTTTATGGCATATTCCTATATATAAGAGACACTTACAAGTTGTCTCTACTTCTATGTGTTGATTTACTATTTTACCCATATTTATTATCTCCAACTCACACTCTCTCTTCCTCTCACTTCTCTTTCTTTTAATAATTTAATTATTTTCTCTCATGCTCTCTCTCCTTATTAATGAGGGCATTTTTGGAAAAAAATTATACTTTTTACACATTAATTGTTCTTAACTAATTTTAACTATTTTTTTTTATTAACATACTTCGGTTATTTGTCTCTTATAATAAGGAACAGAGGGAGTAGTAAATAACCAAACCAGATTAATCAAAATAATTCGGTTTTAACGTTTTTTGGGCTTTTTTTATGTGGCAATAAGCTTCTCTGTTTATTCATTGTATTAGAAGCTTAAATTAAAAATTGCTGGTAAAAAAAAAGCTTAAATTAAAAATATTATTTAAATGGGGTTAGATTAAATATGACAGAGCAGCTCAAAACTAACGTTGGATTTTTTTTTTATTGCTAAAAAGAAAAAGACAATGCAAAGTAGGACCAAAAAAAAAAAAAAAGAACAAAAGCTGTAATTATTATTACAAGTGGGGTGGACTAAGGATCCATTTGAAATAGCTTATAAATAACTTTTCCATCGTGATTTATAAAATACGAGACAAGTATGTAAAAGAAATTTTATCTCAGCTTATATGAAATATACTTATAGGTTATTTTCGCTGCTATCTCAAAGAGGCCCTAAATTGAAAGTGTGAATGGTGAAGTAGGAAACTATGATTACTGATGCAACATGAGAAGCAGAGGAGGGCAGCTGGCAGGGGCATGAGGCTGGGAAGATAAAAGGAATATCAATCTCCATCCGCTTTCCAATATCAGTTGGACATAATTCGGATGCTAAGTTATAACCCAATTTGTTTTTCAAAGACACTAACGCAGTGTTTGGTTGGAGGGTTTTTGAGGGGAGGGGATCAGTGTGTTTAGTTGAAAAAAATAGAGGGGAGGGGAGGGAAAAAGTTTGTCATTTAGTGCTCCCCTCCCTTCTTTCTGCTCCCCTCCAAATTTGGGGTTTTTTCGAGGGGAGAGAAATATTATGTTTCGTATGGACAAAATTATCCATGTTAATTTTTTAATATTCCAAGTTTACCCCTCAAACATTTTCTCCTTTCTTTCACGCTGCGTCTCTTCCTTTCTTCCCACGCGAAACCCTTTCTCCTTTCTTTCTCAAGCATCTTCGCAGGCAAAACCTTCCTTTGTCCATCTCTGCGTCCTCCAAAGATTCTATCCCTCATTTCTTCGCTCCTCGTCTCCGCTTTAGGTACACCCTGGTCACTATATTTGTGTATTTTTATAGCATTGTCTTTTATGATGATTTTATTTTTTTACGTCATATACCAATATCCCTCCAACTTTGATGATTTTATTTTTTTAATGTTAAATAATATTATAGTATTGATCGATTGTGTTGGAAGCATTTGGATCTTGTTATTGAACCAATGTCATATTATATAAATTTCATACGCCGATCAAGTGTGTTGATAGGCTTAGGAGCATGGTGAAGTGGAAAGGGGGCAGAAAATGAGATGTGATAACACCATGGCGAGGGGGTGGTGGGGCCGAAGTGATTTGGTAAGCCATGTGCGGCGGCTCTGCTTCTGGGCACTGCTCCGTCAAATCCTGCTTCCAAGGGATTCTACGAGTTCCATATTTAACATATTAACCCTTTCTTCTTCTGTCTTATTTCTAGTTAACAAGTAGTAATATTTATACCAGTTCCACGTGTAATTCCCTTTCTACTAAATGGGGTTTAAATGGTGCGTTGGTGATTGGGATTGTCATACATTCTTGTGCATGTCCTGATCAGCTAACGCTTGATTCCCCCCATGTGCCTTTCTTTTATGGCGTACCATGCTATACATACAAGGGATTCTTTCTATGAGGGTGAGAATTATTTTTTTTTTTTGGATCAAACTGATTTAGTTAGCTTCAGGTTAGGTTACAGCTGTCAACAATAAGTTGATGTCATTTGCTTATATTAAGTGGATCAGATTTGCTTCCTGATGTAAAAGAATATGTATCTTAATTTAAAATGCTCTTGATATGTCGTGTTTGGGTGGACACATGGATCAATTATTTGAATTCCTTTTGATGTCTATGCTTCTTTAAAGGGAGACTTGATGCAGGAGGGAAAAAGTAGTGTGCATCTCTGCTTCAATGCAAATCTGAATTCAATCTGTTTCTTGAGTTTTTTCTGTCGTGTTGTAAGAAATGCTTTTTTCTCAGACCAATTGTTGTGTCCATGATTGATGATGCTTCTCTTTTTCTAAAGATGCTTCTCGAGCAGTGGAAGCCAGTGATATAGTTTCTACTTTGTTTGAGTTGAGCTATTGCCTAGATATAGTTTCTGCTTTTCGAATAGTGCTGATTAAAATATGCTTCTCACGCATTTGCCTTTTGGTTTTTGATTTATAGATATAATTTATTTGTCAAATAGTGCTGATTAAATATGTCAAATCTATTTGTCATGTCTCAAGTGATCTAGTATTAATTGGATACATGTCTATATGGTTTATTAGATGGAATGGAGATCTCAAAACAATTTAGCCTTGCGTCGATGGTTGGATTTGCGTCAAAAAGCTATAGCACTACTCACATGTGTTTTTGTCTATCTTGTTATTCGGAGGAGGTGCCGTAAGAGAAAAATAAGTTGTAGTATGAGTTCAGAAAGGGAAAGGGTGCGTGAAGAAATAATGAGCCAATTAAGCACCAATGAAAAGAGTCGCAATATCATTCGCATGACTCCTAATGCTTTCCTAACATTATGTGTCTTGCTAGAAAGAGAGGGGGGGTTAAAGCCCACAAGATGGGCTACTGTGGAAGAACAAGTGGCAAAAACTCTTTACATATTAGGCCATAGAGCAAAAAATCGAGTTGTAAATTTTTTCTTTTGAAGATCTGGTGAGACAATTAGTCGCCATCTCTATAATGTGTTAGGAGCTATTATTGAAGTAGGCGATAAGTTTATTGTGCAACCTAATGGAGCAATAGTCCCTCCTGAAATCCATGCAAATGAGAGGTTTTATCCTTTTTTTAAGGATTGTATTGGCGCCATAGATGGAACACACATACGTGTGAAGGTATCTGTTAAAGATGCTCCTCGATATCGTGGTAGGAAAGAATTCCCAACACAGAATGTGTTAGCAGCTTGCTCATTTGATTTAAAATTCACCTATGTGCTCACTGGATGGGAAGGCACAGCATCTGACTCTAGAATTATGAAAAATGCATTAACACGAGAGGATAAGCTGAAAATTCCTGAAGGTAAATACTACCTTGTGGATGCTGGTTTCATGCTAACTAGTGGACTCATTACACCCTACAGAGGAGTCCGTTATCATTTGAAAGAGTTTTCAGAAAGAAATCCACCCCAAAATTATAAAGAATTGTTCAATTTGCGACATTCATCATTACCCAATGCAATTGAAAGGGCTTTTGGTGTTTTGAAAAAAAGATTTGACATTTTAGCCAATTCAGCTGAGCCTACTTATGGAGTGAAAGCTCAAACTCTTATTATTGGAGCATGTTGTATTCTTCATAACTATTTAATGAGTATAGATCCTAATGAGGATCTCATAGAAGAAGTAGATCATGAACTTGCAACTCAATCTGAGTCTAATGATAATATTCGTGATCGACGTGGTGACAATGAGGAGGCTGCTCGGGGACAGTTGATTAGAGATACTATAGCAAATGAGATGTGGATAGATTATCAAAATAGGCTAATGGGACGTGGTGGCAATGTACCCTAATCAGTTTAAAACTTGTGCTTTGATGTACTTGTTGTTTCATGTCTATTTGGTTGTATTGTATTTGATATTTGAGACTTGTTGTTTTTAAATTTGGTTGTATTGTAATAATTTTGAAGTTAAACTTTTATGTATTGTATTTGAAGTTTGAGACTTGTTACTTTTAAATTTGGTTGTATTGTAATAATTTTGTAGTTAGACTTTTATGGATTGTATTTGAAGTTTGAGACTTATTGCTTTTAAATTTTTTATGTAATGTAATAACTTTTGTTTGTCGTATTGTTTTATTATTTTGATAATAGAATGTCGCCCAAACCGAACAACAATAAGCAATATTTGAATTGGACAAGAGCGATGGATGATTATCTTGTTGACGCGTTCATGGAACAATATAACTGTGGCAATAAAGTAAATGGCACGTTCACAACCACTGCGTATGAAAACATTGTGAAAGAGATGAGTGCTTTACTTGATATTGAAATGGACAAGGAGAAGATTAAGAACAGGTGGAAAACTTTAAAAAAGAACTTCTCTGAAATTTATGATATTTTTAAAAATGGTTTAAGTGGGTTTGCTTGGAACCCATCAACCCAATTATGGGAGGCAGAAGATGAAGTGTGGGATCAACTTATTGAGGTCAGTTTATGTTATTTATTGTGGAGAATTTTTAACATCTAAACCCTCTATTTATTCATTAATATTGACTATTATTTAAATTTTTTCTTTTGTAGTCAAAGCCTAAAGCTGCAAATTGGAGAGATACTCCATTTCCCAATTATAACAAGATGATCATCTTGTATGGAAATAATAGAGCATCAGGGGAGGGAACTCATACTATAGGTGAGATGCGAAAGAGACATCATTCAATTAATGAAGAGGACTTTCTTGATACAGGCAACAACACTGAAGATGTTGCTTCCCAACATAATATTAATATGGAGCATTTTGAAATACTTGATAACAGTGTCAATCAAGATAACTCACTTGAAGTTGCAAGTGCTTCATCTAAAAAGAAGCAAAAGGTGAATTCAAATAAGGAAAAAGACTCCGAATTAAGTGAGATTAAGGATGTCATGTCTGAAATTGCACAAGCTATTAGAGAAAGTACTAGAAAGATTCCACAAGTTTCGGGTGAAGAAGTATGGAATATGATTAAAGATTGTGGCGTTTCAACAACCTATATTGCCAAGATCTATAAAGCTCTTATGGGTGATGATGGGCTACTAAGGACATTTGTTGAATGTCCCCTTGTTGGGCGCAAGGATTTGCTTATGGAAATTATGAATGATTTAGGAAATTAGTTTGCTAATCATTTGGAGACTTTTGATGTTAAGTGATGTTGATGTTACCAATTATAAATGGCTTAGAAAATTTATAGTTTGCTGACTATTTGGTGACTTTTCATATTATGTGACTTTAATGTTGCCTGTTATGAATCACTTAGGAAATATTTAGTTTACTGACCATTTGGTGATTTTTGATGTTGGGTGACATTAATGTTGCCAATTATGTAATGAACTAATGATATTTGATAATGATAATATAATATTTCTATCATGACAGCAATTTTTTTTGTAATATGATATGACGAATATATATTAATAGAGGGTGGTATGTTATAATTATATAATATATACATATTATAGCTTGTGTCTATTATAATTATATATCATAGTGTGTATTATAATTATATAATATATATACATATTATAGCTTGTGTCTTTTATAATTATATAATATTTTCTAATTTTTTTTAGTTTTATCATAATTTTTTATCACATATAAGTGAGGTAATTGGTTTTTTTGAAATTGATAAATTAGAAAATAATAATTTTGATATAAATATTGTAATAAAAGACTAAATCAATCTAAATATAGAGATAAGGGCATATTTGTCAATTTATAATCCCCTCCCCTCCCCTTCCCTTCTGAACCAAACAAGAAATCTCCCCTCCCCTCCCCTCCAACCAAACAAAACCCATGACCTCTCTTCCCTCCCCTCCCCTCCCCTCCATTGAACCAAACAAAGCCTAAATCAAATACCAAAAACTAAAATAACTTAAAACAAACAAAAAAAAGAATTGAGTTCGGTTTTTGATTTCAGTTCAGTCTTACTCACCCTTAAATAAAATAGTGTAGGAACTAGGGACTTAAGACAAACTACGTAACTTAGTTGTTAAATAATTTTTCCCTCATTTCATTGCAGATTTGAGGCAATAAGTTCTAAACCTGATTGCCATTACCATTTACCATTGGCATTATGTTAAGTGTAGCGCTCATTTTTCTGCATATTGTGCCTCTTCGGGATAGCAGTGGAAATCTCCCATAAACACTTTTTACATAAGTCAAAACAAAATTTCTTTTATATACTTACATCGTATTCTGTAAATCATTATTAAAAAGCTAATTGCAAGTTGTTTCAAAAGAGCCCATTAAATCCAGATTAAAAATGGGCCATACTGCTTATTGTTGTTAAAATTAACTGGCTATAAATTTTAAACTCCCTTCAGGTTTGGGCCTATCCAATATCTTCAACTCTAGCATCCCCTTGCACAACCCAAAACCGTAAACCTGCGATTAAATGAGGGCTTTTTTATTTTTTTAAGTTGACAATAAGAGGGCTTTCTTGTAAATAATAAAACATACAATCAAAAAGGCCTACCTCAAACTTATTGACTCAAATGAAGGGCCTATCCAACGATACAATGCTTTGTGCTTTATCGATCTCATCTCAATTTTCAAACTACTTAACCTTTCTTGAGACTTGGGATTAAATAAAGTTAAATCTGATGCAAAAAATCTTGTGGACATGCTGGGAAAGAAATTTAGTAACAAAGGAGTAAGTTTGATTTTTTTCAGATTCAGAAATTGATGAGACATTCATGAGAGCTGAAGATTCAAGCTATCTCAAAAGAACAAAACCATATAGCTGATCCTTTTACAAAAAAAGAGCTTTCAAGATCTTTCATTCAGGATTCATATCCGTTACACTTACAGACCTTAGTGTCAAAAGAATCTTTGGGATCTGACTCCCCAATGTTTTAGTTTCTATTTTTCAGGCTAGAACTCTCTCGAACTCTCTCGTACCCCCCCCCCCGGGGGAAAAAAAAAGAAAAGCAGCGAGGACATCTCAGGTCTCATTTCATTTTTGTGAGATCATCCCTTGAACTTCCTTCAGGGCTTCTTGTTCATGATCATCCAACTCAATTTAACATCAATAAAGTGTGTGAGTATGTGTGTGTGTGTGTTTACACTCTCAAGTTCACTTCTCAACGCTAGTTTTCTAATCCTTCCTTCCACATTATCTTATAAGTACTCACTCACGCAATGACACGTGGACGCAATGCTCATAATTATCATGACGATTAACATTAAGACTATCCTGAAGAGGACCACATATTGGAGTCATGAGGACAAACAACCCAGTCACTCTCGGACAAAATTGATTATCGATGGAATTCTGGCGTGCCCCTCCTCCATACAATAATCATGAATTCTTAAAGAACGTGGTGTTCCTGTCTGTGGGACATTGTCAAATATTGCTAACACCAAAGCAGAACAAGTCTCGTCATCATTTTCATTTTCGTCACTAACAAATCCAAGCAACGCAAACATCAAGAAGAGTACTAAATATTCTCCAAATTGACCATTTATGCAATATATGTTGGGCAAAAGTAAGGCTTCTCTTGATCCGTCAAAGGACGCGTATGTGATTCTCTCTCTGCAAACCCATCACTGATACTATGACTACAAGGTAAGAAAAGGGCTTTTCTCTTTTCTTTTTCATCATTCCTTTCTCTTATTCAAAGCTGTGGAGCTTTGACCATGGAGTTCAGAGTCATTCTGGAGCGACATAGAGGGGGGAATAATCTGCATAAAAGAAATCAATGTCGTGAAAGACAGACAACTCAAGTGTGGAAGAATATGTTATCCGATGATGTAGTAACAACAAATTACAACGGTAAACTTCTTTGGTTATATTTATAATTGTCACGGTCAGTCTAATCGTGGTTCTCTTCAACTTTTATATATAAAAAGCACTAATGATATGTCTTTTATAACCACTTTTGGTTCATGTACTGCAAACTAAAGATTAGAAAGTTTAACTTCATATTTGACATGTTGCACCACCGTACCAAGACGCAAAGAAGTCACAGTGATGAGATTCTGGTTTATATCAGTGGTAATGGAGTCAATTTCAGAGAAGCCATGGCTTAGCTTAGCGTAGCCTATGGTCTCCTTTCCTTTCATTTAATTTGAATGTTTTTGTGGGGAACTCAAGGAAGAACTTTGGAGGGAATGGATCAAAATAAAAGAGAAAGCAAAAGGTTAAAAAAGGGGCAATTCAGGACCACCAAGCTGGAGCTAGCCATAGAAGTCGAAGGCTGGTCATTGCTACAAAGTGTGTGTGTAATGTGTAACAACCATATAAAGGGTTCAAATAACAAAATTGAGAAAACACGTGACTGTGGGATACGTTGAGAATAGGGAATTTTTGGGAGACAGCCCAATAGAGGAAGTGGATGGAAAGGTAGAGTGGTAGAGTATCTTAGGAGGCATGAGGGAAAAGGAGAGGAGGGGATAGAATCTCTAGGCGATGAAAAGTGTTAGAGATCTGTGTTGCTCTTGTTTAAAAAACAAAAAAGATGCATTAGCATTTAATTACCATGCATCTTTTGATTTCCTCTTCAAATTGCTAGTTATATTAATAAGGTTTTGGAATCCTTTTTGGAATTCATATTTGTTCATTTGTCGAGAAGCATACACAAGCCAACCTAACATTGTGGGGAGACCTCTCCTTATTGTGTTTGATGATTTTGGCTTCTTTAACTTTAGGATAGATTATTATCCATAAATATAATATCTACATGTGAACTTTCTCTCTTTCTCTATAAGGCCATATTTTAATCTTGAATTTATAATAAAAGCAGAACATTTTAGTTTGGTCTGCAAGTATAATGTTAGGTAGCATGTGATATATGCAGTTGAAATTACTCACACATATTATGATGAATGAAATCTCCTTCTTTGTGATCAATCCATGGGCTAAAATAAAATTAATTGCTCATCACCCACATGGCCACACCCTTCCCACATTTCTAAATAATAATTACTATTATTTCCTAATATTACATCTAAATTAATGATAATTTATTAAATAAACGAAAAAATCACTTTTGACCTACTAGCTATTGGATTTTTAAACATATCATAGTATGCATGAATGTTCAAGTTATTTTAAAGTATAGGTTGAATAGTTTGGATTTGACTGAATCTAAATTAATTGACGGGATCAACAAATATCAAATAAATGTGGCCAAAAGAATAGAATTCTTTTGAAATATAGGAGGGTGACAGTTAAGTTTCAAAATATCAACTTAATTATATTTAGCTTTCGAAACAATCTCTACTTACAAATTATATTCCACTACATTATGAATAAGAGAATAATAGTTGGATTTTTTTTAGATTTAAATATATTAGATTAATTTATAAAGATCTAATTGCGAATTCACATTATCAATCAATATGCATTCATGAGAAGTTCATGATTTCTTTTATTTCATCCAAAAGTTATTACATTGTTTTGATTGCACATTAGCTAAACTATTTAAATAATTATGGGTGACCAAAAGGAAGCTTAGGTGAACTCAATTAGCTCTAAGGATAAGCAAAACCAAATGGAAACAGAAAAATGGATCAAACCAAATATAATTCGGTTTATTTAGTTTTTCTGGCTTTTGGTTTGGCTAATTTTTATGATACTAATTCATTGGTTAGTTCGATTTTTTTAGTATAAAAAATAACTGAGTTGAATTGAATACACATAAATATGTTTTTTTATATTTTTTATTTTATATATGACAGAATGAGTTTGATTTTGTGAGGAAAAATTTCTCTTCAATTATTTTCTTAAGAGGATTTAATTTAATTTCTATATGTGACATGATTAGGAAAAAAAACACGCCGCATATTGCATGAATAATCAATTTCCGTGGAATAAAATATAGTGAAAAAAGTTCTTGCAAAAATAATGTAGTGAAAAAAGTAATAGTTAACTTACTCTTATCTGTTTGTATAAAGTCTGTGGCCAAAAAAAAAAACAGATTTTGTTCCTAATCAGTTAAAATTTAAGAGTTGCAATGCTTCCACTATGATATTTAAAATAATAATAAAAATTTTTTGTTAAAAAAAAATAAAGAAATTGCCCAATTGATCCAAACTTATTTTTATTAAAAAAATGATTGCTCACCTTTAATTAGATCATTTTTTTTTGGGTCAACACCTTTAATTAGATCTA